TAGGACTCCTGTGATGAAATTAGTGTCTCACAAGAATACCAAAGGGGTCAGGCACAATGGCACGCCCACTCAGTCCTTGAGAAGTTGAAACAAAAGGGTGGTGAGTATTAGCTCAGGTTACAAAAACAAAGAAGAAAGGATACTATCTTCTCTGTCTCTCTGTGTTTGTGTCCCTCTCTGTCTCTCTCTCTCCTTTTTCCTCCCTTTATCTCTCTGTCTTTCTCTTCAGTGAAATAAGTTGCAATAAGTAGCTAAATGATAGCTAGGAACCAAGTCTACCAACATCTTGACCTGGGACTTCCAGAAGTGCAAAGATTAATGTCAACAGTTTAAGTCAGGAAAAAAAAATTCATGACATTTGTCACAGTGTCCCTAGCTGGTCATCTGTGCCCTGGTCATCCATCAAATAGGTTGCAGTCTCCTAAACCCAACACTAGAACGAATCGTCTCCTCACATCTGACCCTAAGCCCTGCCTCCCTCTCCAGTCTTTTGTTATGGTCATGCTAGTTTATCTAGGTGACTCTTTGATAAAATGCGTACATACAGTAATACTGAAGAGGTTCAAAGACTTTAAAAATATGTGTATCCAAGTCAAAACCACTCAGCCTCAAAGGTACAAGCCCTTGACACCACCACCACCCTCAGGGGACCTGAAATGATGACAAGCCTACTGCAACACGGGGAGATGGATTACAATGAAGAGAAGAGAGGAAAAACAAAGGAGTTGAAGTCATATGAAAGAAGAGACAGCGTTATTGCTGGCAGCTGATAGGACTGTCTCCCTGCAAAGCCACAGGAAGTTAGTGAAAGTCATCACACCACACAGCTCACTCAATACTCAACAGGGCAAGATATTCAGAAATCAGTCATTCTCTCAGACAGCTGAAAAGGCAGCTGCAGAATACTTTATAATAAAGTCCCCAAGTAGAAGGACAACAAAGACTGGGCAACATTTACAAATAGAACAAAAAGAAAAATTCAAGACATATTTAAAGAAAACTGTAAAACTTTACTGAAAGTTGTAAAATGTTGCAAAGATGATGATGTCGAAGGTGTCACTTCTTTCCCACTGTGCCCAGGTTATTTATAAATCTCATGAAATTCTGCCTGCCTATGGTGTTCTTTTTTTTTTTTTTCTTGGATGTCTTGAATGTTCTATTTTTGGAGTTTCTCTCTTTTTTTAGCTACTGTGAGTGGGTTCCTGTTCATAGCAATCAAATGACTAACTCAGCCTGGGCTGCCCCTCTATCCCTCATAGGTTTGTGTATCCTGAATCTTGACTCTGGCCCTGTGCGCTACTGTACCTCCTTCCAAATGGCCCCTTACAGATTCTTGCAAATAAGAATTTCATTAGCAATAATAATTTTTTTAAAAACTTGAATTTTTTTAACTTGTTACACTACCTCTTTGAGTCTTAAATCAACACCGTGTATTTAAGTGGCTCAAGTCCAGCCCGAATTTTCAGGAGAAAGAACCTGATTGGTTAATCTTACCTTGGGTCAGGATCTATTGGTACAAATGGATGTGGCCATAAACAGAAGAGATCCATGGTTTGAGTTGAGCCAGAGCAAAACATTGATAAGGACGGCATGGCTTTGCCAGTAGACACATGTATATTTTACCCATCTCATTTTAAATTCTTAACTATTTTCCAGTCACACCACTGTGGTGTTTTGAATGAAAATAGTTCCTCAGGCTCATGGGAAATGGCACTTTTAGGAGATGTGGTCTTACTCAAGTAGGTGTGGCCTTGTTGGATGAAGTGTTTCACTGGGGGGTGGGGCTTTGAGGTTTCAAATACTCAAGCCAGGCCCAGTGTGTCTCTCTCTTTTCCCACTTGCTTGTCACTATAGATATAGGACTCTCAGCTCCTTCTCCAGTACCATGTCTGCCTACATCCTGCCATGTTTCCCCGACATGATGACAAAGGATTAAACCTCTGAACTTATAAGCCTGCCCAAATTAAATGTTTCCCTTTACAAGAGTTGCCACGGTTGGGCTGGAAGGATGGCTCAGCTGTTAAAGGCTAGGCTCACAACCAAAAATAAAAGAGTTGCCATGGTCATGGTGTCTCTTCACAGGAGCAGAAACCCTAAGACAACTACAAAGCAAGATTTTTATCAGCATATTGATGTCAAGGAACGACCTTCTTATGGCAGGTTAAGTTCTCTATGGAGGCCTGGCCGACTTAAAAATTAACAATGGGCCTACTTTCAATACTTGGATGCTTGGGGTCCTACCTGATGTTCTGGTGTGATACCACGCCCACTTTTCTGGTGTGTTGCCATGCCCACTAGTCCTAGAGCAGAGAATCTTCTTGCCTAGCTCCTCTGTGCCAGCTGCCAGCATTGCAATGGGGCCGCATCCCCAGGGAAGGTGCATGTGGGTCTCCCGGTCACTGCTTTGCTGCCGCTGTTCCCCGCTCTACCTGTCTCTATCCTCCACATCTAGCATTCTCTTCCCTCTCCCACCAGCCTGCCTGCAAGCACCCTGCCTTGCCTTGCAGCCACAACACCAAGTGCTTGCTCATAATAGCTCAGTGGATGGATCATAACTGAATCAGCACTTGTTGCCCCAAGCTGCAGACACCTTGTGGCATACCCTGAAGGGGCTTCTTTCTTTCTTTCAAGATAAATACTGTATCCCACAAGGAGAAATCCTCCTTGGCCTGGGAACACAAGCTTCTTCCTCTGCTCTTCGAGACCTAGACCTCATTCTCCACACACCCAACCCATGCTTTTGGTGGGAAACCAATGTCTCACCACCAGCCCACCAACTGAAGCTGTGATCCATGTAAATCTTCCTAGGAAGTGTAAAGCTAAATGCATCCCCAGGGCACCCTTGTCCTATGGCTGCAATGGAAAAACACACAGGAGTGTCTGAGTGACCCCTCCAAACTTCACAGTTCCTTTGTTTCCCCACCAGGCTGAGAGAGAATTCCCAGACTCTTGGGGTCATCAGAAGAGACACTACATTAGCATATGTTCTTTACACAGAGTCCCCAGGAGGCAATAGCTTCCTTAAGACCAGAGTGGCCTCCAGCTGTCAGGGCCAGACCATAAGCTATAAGAATAGGATACACTTCCTTTAGATAAAAAAGGTCACAGGATGGGAGAAGTGGTGGCACTGGACACGCAGGTACAGATGACTGAGGTAATTACATGTGCGAGATTGGGGTCCCAGCTTTCTTTACGGTAACAGTCTTAGGGAGCCCTGAGAATGACATCTTTTTTTTTTTTTCTCGTTTTAGTTTTTTTGAGACAGGGTTTCTCTATGGCTTTGGAGGCTGTCCTGGAACTAGCTCTTGTAGACCAGGCTGGTCTCGAACTCACAGAGATCCACCTGCCTCTGCCTCCCGAGTGCTGGGATTAAAGGCATGTGCCACCAACGCCCAGCTGAGAATAACATCTTAAGCCATCTAATTTCTGTGACATTTATTACCGTGCCTGCTCCTGCTACCTCTGCTGCTCTTTCTGGGGTGCACTTTCAACTTACTGTCTTCTTTGCAATGGGGACCAGCCCATTAGGTGTCCCGCCTAGCCTTCATTGGTTGCCATTGCAGAAATGAGCTTGTTTATAGTGTTCACTACCTGAAACCATCAGGAGAGTTCAAGCATAGCCTCCCACCCCCACCCCAGCAGCCGTAGGAAGGCCTAGCAGGAAGGATGTCCTTACACTAAACAGCAAGCACATTCTAGATAGGTTTTTTTGTGACGGGGCATCCCCCATGGGTTACAGTCTTTCTCAGCCTGTGCTCTTAACACCAGCAGAAGAGCTTTGTGACAGAACAATGTCCCCTCCATCTCCAGCTGTTACCTCACTCCCACACCATTTCATCCATATGCCAGCACATATGTGAACACTCAGACACTCTGCCCCTCTCCTCTCACAAGTGCTTATGACCCACTCAGAGCCACACAGCCAAGTCCACAGCATCCATGGTGACTTCCTAGAAAACAGAGCATTCTCGGGTGCTGGGAGAAATGTCACTTCTGCTTCAGGTTCTCTCACAGTGATGCTCAAAAGAACAGCCATAAGTAACACAGGTGTTAGGTGCTCCTGGTGCTTGCTGGCCAAGGTCAGCTCACAGTCACAACCCACCAACCTACATTTGACTCCTGATGCTGTAGAGCCACGCTTCCCAGGAAATTAATGTTTTTGCTACCCATAGGCGCTCTTTGAGGTATATGAAGCCATGTGTGTGCCTGCAAGGTTCACCCTGGAGAAAAGCCAGGCATCTTCTCCATACCACATATTTTTATGAACAAGCTTATAACCAGTAACAAACCACCATGAGCACCGAGGAGACTGGAGCATTTGCTTGCTGCTTGGAACTACACAGGTGTAAAGATGTCCCTTGTGGGGCGGGGCAACCCTTTGCAGATCTGAAAGGTACTTGCTGTGTACACCTGTGTGACATTCTAACCACAGATGCACGACCCTTCATGCCTTGTGTTCTCATGGATGAGTTATATATTCTGAATCCGGTACAGACTGCACTCCCATCCTAAGAAAATACAGCTACCACCTGTTGGCAGCTAGCACTCTATAAATGTGATGGCAGGTACTGCTAGGTTGAGAATGAATAGCTCCACCCTAACAAATCACTTTGTTACACCTCTAAGCTTTAAGAAGAATGCAAGGGGCACCTGGCTTCCAGTCACCTTCAACCTCAAGAACACTTCCCTAGCCTCCTCTAATGGGAGAAATGAAGGCAGACACTTGAATCGCTCATCTTACCTCCTTTTTATTACAACATCAAGGAAAATAGTTGCAGAGGAATTGTTATGGAGATAATCAGATTAAGCTACCCACAATTCCATTGTGTACACCTTTCTATAGGGGCATAAATACTATGGGTTTCTGTACATGCATGTCAGGTTTTCAGGAGGGTGTGTACTGTGTGGATGACTTCTCTCTAGGGTATTGTTCTCTTCGTCTCTTGATAGATGGTGGTTGGACTTGGTGTCTTCGGGTGGATTAGGGAGCAGCTTCCCCACTAGGACTGTGATCCGGCCTTCTTCTTCTGGAATTTTCTGAACTGAGACTGAATGGCCACAGCCGCACGCTCTGTCTCTGGTGCATCCATGTCAATGTCGAATTCTTCTTGGACTTTCTTCTGCCCATCTGTATCAAAAAACAAACAAACAAACAAACAAAAAGACATATAAGGTGACCACCTAGCTGAAAATAGAAGAGCAGGCAGGAGTCTAGATACATGAGCCAGTGTGGCCCACCATCCCATGTGCTCAGGTATTCATTCACACACACACACACCCAAGACAAGGCCCTGTTTGCAAAGCAAAATCCAGGGGCACAAGGTGGAAAGTTCCAGACATTCAGAATCTGCAATTCTCCAGCTTTCTGAAACCCACCCACAAGCAAAATGGTAAAAGTCATTGACTCAGTTTTGACACTTTCTGTAATGCTAGCTGATGGTCACCGTGTTCAAAGCTGACAGGGTGACATTTTGGATACTTGTGTCGCTAATGAGATTTGCTCATTGCTTTCTAGGTTCCAGTAGTGGTCATTTTAATTGCCAAATCATACTATTGACCATCGCCATAAGACTGCACTACCACAAATTATGCATTGTGATTCTGCAAGGCAGGCTGGGCAGTGTGTTTACTAAGGCAGAGAAGTCAGCTAGCTTACAAGGACATGGTTGCTGAGAACAGACACAAGCCAGCAACAAGTGATGACTTGACATGATTGTGCCTTTGTGCTGGGCACTTCCTGAGCAGTGACCAAAGGTAATTAAAAAAGTAAGCAAAATCCTCCTGCCAGAGAAAGGAGAGGAGACATCTTTTTATATCCTCCAACCCAGTGAAGGCTGGACTCATCAAAAGAACCACTTCTTTGTTGTTTTTGAATGCAGACCCTAGGGTCCCAGCCCAGACTCAAGGTGACTTCTTATGTAGTTGAAAGGAAGGTTCTTTAAGGGCAAGCCTGCTCATTTGTTAAGATTAGGGAGAGGCCTTTTAGAAGGAAGTTGAGTTGAGACCCAAGCTCCTGTCTACAGAGGAGGCAGTCGAAAGGAACTAAGGTTAATACAAGCCAGGGCTGAAGCCAGCAGCAGCTCCCACCTTCCCAGGACCTGTGCAAAAGCCTCACTGTCACCCTGGGCTTGAATAATGAGCAGAGAGGCCAGCTAGATAAAACAGAGTGGGGAAGGGAGGAGATGATAGAAATGATAAATAATATAAATAGTAGATAATAATAGATAGAAAATAGATAAGATAGATTATTAATAGAAAGATGACAACTAAATTAAGTAGATGGAAAATAGATGATGATAGGTAAATTGATAGATAAATAGATAATGATAGAAGATATAGATAGATAGATAGATAGATAGATAGATAGATAGATAGATAATAAACAGACATACAGATATAGATGGTAGGTGGTAGATAGACAGACAGGTAGATGATAAACAGACCCACAGATATAGATGGCAGGTGGCAGGTAGATGATAGATGGCAGACATTCGGGAAAATCTGCACTTATTTCAGAATTTCCTTGCATAACATTTCCATTTCAGATCCTTCAGCAGGCTCCTCTCAGTTTTCTTAGAGATTAAACAGGTTCTGCCCGGAGCACCCCCAGCACTCTTCCATCTGGGGCAAGTGATCCGCCTCTGGCCTTGTGAGCCTTGTTAGTGTAGCAGGTTTGTGACCTAAATCAATTAACTTTTCTTTCTAACTCACTGCCATGACTGCAGAAGCTGAGCCATAGAGTGCATTGTGCAAGGAATGCTGAGGGATTTCCTTCAGGATCCATGGGGGTCTAACAGACAGAGAATGGTGGAATTCTTCAGCTGCACCCCTCCAGGTCAAGTAGTCCTTGGCCTATTGATCCACATGGCAGTGAATACAGTAGGCAGGGCCACAGGAAATGACAGGAGTTGCCTGCAACCCAAGTAGATGCTGGGAAATATGAAATTGAACTGAAAGGCAAGAATGACAGATATGCAGTGGCCCTAGCTCTGGGCTGACATCGATACTATCTGGCTCTGTAGCTCTATGAGTAGTCATTTGTCACAAGAGTTTTGTACTTCTGATCTTTCCCTCCCAAAGGAGACCCTGCATCCACTGTAAAGTGATGGTGATAGGGGAAATTAGCTGCAATTCAGGGGAGGTCAGGAGAGGGATTTTTTTTTTTCAGATTAAAAAATGTTGCTGCAGCCCACAGTTTTTGAAGGGCCTGATCCATCTTCTCCCTTTTGTAATAATGGGAAAAAACAATAATTTTGTTTTGACAAATGATAAATGAAGATGCAGAAAATTGTGTATATTTAGGGGATTCAAGATGCAGTAGTAAGGACAGGCCATAAAAATCAATTTTACAATTACATCTTAAACTAATATCTTCCACCAAAAGTGATCCATTGATCCCACCCACATCTGAGAAGTATTACAATGCTTTGCAAAGCAACTTCTGATATTTAAGGACTTGTCACTTTCTGTTCACTTCAGAGCCTTGCCTTCCTTCAGGGAAAGTCTGCACTGTCACAGGAGAAGCAATGAGCTCCATGTTCCAAGGGGGCCAGGGACCAGAGTTGCAGAAAGGAGATTAGGAGGACAGACAGCTCATCAGATCTGATGGCAAAGAGTTGGTACTGGTGAAGGCTTGCAATGGTTCCAGGGGGTCCTGGCAGCAGGACAGGACAGTTCTGAGCATCCAATCAACAAGAGCAAAGAGTGGCCATAGAAGTTGTGGAGTGCCACATCTGGGCTCCCATCTCTAGAACCTCTTCCATCTTTGGAACCTCCCAAGGTCTCCTTCCAGGGTCCCTATTGACAATGGCAGCTCAGATGCAGGGTGACTCTGAAGAAAGCCTCCCTTCTCCTTCACCCCAGAGCAGAGCTCAGGGCACACTCTGTTTTGGTTTGGTTTGGTTTGGTTTTTGCTGTTGATATCACAGAAGCTCTCAGCATTGTAGACTGGAAGGCCAAAGCCCCTAGGGTTTGTTTTGTGTGTATATGATATTCATTGAAAATACACTATACATGTGCATGTACACACACACACACACACACACACACACACACACAGGCCTGCATTGTAATTCACTGTAGCCTTTACTATCCATTACCTCCATTACTCTAACTCTTTCCATCCCTGGTTTGTCCTCACTGTAACTTCCCTTTCCAGGGTGTGAGCCTGGGAAGGAAGGGGCTCTGCTTGCCTTGTTCCAGAAGGTCTCCTAGGGCCTGACACCAAATGGGTGTCCAATTAGCAGCTGCTGGTTGTGAACAACTCTGTCAAGCAAGCACACACCTCTAGCCTGAGGTCTAAGACACCCAGCACGCCCAGCAGTAAGTAATTTCTATTGGCCAGTGGGTCCCTGTTCTCACCACCTCCTCCTCTATCATGGATTCACAACAGGTCTGTAAGGAAGTGTGGATGGGAAGTGTGTAGTCAAAGCCACCGTGGGGCCAACCAGAGCTGTCTGGTTCAAAGAGGATGGAAGATGTGAAGACAGAGATGTGGCCACAGGAGAATGGCACAGAAAGCATTGATTCTCAAAGGGATGAGGCTCAGAGAAGAGGTGGAAAGAACAGGATGCAGGCATCCAGACACAGTTACCCAGAATGAATCAGGAAGGCATGGGTGTAACCACGTATCACTGACCCTGGGGCCTTGGACCTGGAAGAGGGTAAGGATACAACAGAGAAGGCCTGAGTGAGGAGAAAGTAGTCCATGCATTCCCCGCTGACAATGGGGAATGGTGTGCAGGCTTCTCAACCCTACCCTATACTAGACACCGGCTGGCCAGGGAATAAACAAAACACATGCATCGTGTTCCCACAGTGCCCTTAGCCTCTTCAGGGTGAGGCGCTGGCTCTTCCTACCTGTCAGCCTCCACCCCCAGAAACTCTTGAGGTGTCGAGCCCGGCTAGAGTCAGTTTCGGGGATCGCTTCAGTGGCTGTGACCCTGGAGGAGGTTCTTAACTACCTTGGTTCTTGGCTTTCCTTTTTTAAAATACAGAAATAAAAAAAAATTTATTTTCCTAGCCCCCAATGTCACAGACAGACCAATGTAGAGTGGGGTGCTGAGCAGCTAATCCATCCAAACTGAACAATCCCCTCCAAGAAGGTGGAAGGAGGCTCACAGAAAGCTCAAAATTCCCCAGGCCCCTCCCAGAGCTACAAAGGCAGTAGGCAGTTTCTAGAGCAGGAAGGCTTTTCCACAGAGCTGTCTGCTAGGGATATGGTTTTCCTGAGTTGTTGCTTATGCTGAGTGGGGCTTTTTGATGATGCCTCTGCCTTCAAGTCACCCCTAATTCTGTTTGCCACTCTTCACTCAGGCCTCTGTAAAGCAAACCCAGTAAACACACTAGTTGACAAGGCTAGACTTGAGTGAAACATGGTTTTTGTTTTTTGTTTTTGTTTTTGTTTTTTATCTGTCTTTGCTGTTCTGGGCTGAAAAGATGTTTGTTTGCATCTTCCCATATAAAACTACCATACAACAGAAGTCTAGGTAAGAGTGACATTGAGGACCGTCTCTAACCACCATAAAGGCAATGAAGGTTTGTAATGGTAACACAGTTCTGGGCTTCCTTTTCTTAAAACTGGAAGACAAATCACTTCCTTCCCTGGCCCCCAGTTGTACAGTTCAACTTCTTATTGTAAGTTAAATTTTAAACAGTATCAGGCTGTATGTGACCAGGGCTGCAGAGATAGGAAGAAGGGGTATAGGCGAGAATGAGGTACTTAAGCCCTGGGGTCTCTGCACCTACTTATTGGTGTGATTCACAGGTTACTTGCACCCTAATTGGGAGAAAACCTGACACATTACATCATGGATGTTTCATGGTCAGTCTAGGCAGCTGGGTGTGTCTGGCTTGTTACAGAAATGGTCCTAGTTGTGTGATTCAAACCATGGAAAACATATTCAAAACACAGTCAGTAAGGACCAGCCAGCTGCGCCACCCGTGTTGGGCACAGCACACAGACCAGAGTATACAGGGAGACTGAACACTGCAGGACCCAGCCCAGTCACCAGGGCTAGGAAGACTCTGAACATGGCAAAGGTCTCTCTGCCCAGTGGCTCTATCCATGAGAGAGTGAGAAGTCTGTGTTTCCAGCAGGTTAAAAGTGTCATCGTCCTTCCCATCTGG